AAAAGCAGGCAAGAGAGAAAACCTTCCAGTGGGGAGAATTCTCAGCACACAAATCTATAGTCTGGTTTGCTTGGGAGGCAAGGAAGTGCCATGTAAAAAACTACCAATTTCTGAGCAGTGACAAATGGTCTGGTCAATTGATCAAGACCTTGAAAGAAGTAAGATTTGAAGTTTGGTGACAGAGAAGAGGGTTGGGAAGACAAACATGGCTTAACTTCTCAGAATTGGCTGCATTTGAAAGTAATTGTTGCCGGGCTCGGTGGCTCAGCCTGTAATCCCGCGCTTTGGGAGGCTGAGGTGAGTGGATTACCTGAGCCCGCGGGTTCGAGACCCGCCCAGGCACTTTGACAAGACCTCATCTCTACAATAAATAAAAAATTAGCCGGGCATGGTAGCGCGCACCTGTAGTTCCAGCTACTTGGAAGGCTGAGGTGGAAGGATCGCCGGAGCCCAGCAGGTCAAGGTTGCAGTGGCTGGGAGTGGCCACTGCACTCCATGCGACAGAGTGAGACTCCAACTCAAAAAAAAAAAGAAAGTAATTGTTTCTTGAGTAAAAGGTCACCCGAAATCCCCACTTAATAATTAAATGAGCAAGACCATCTCTGTGTGTGTAACAATTTCTTTCTCTGGGCACGTCATTGCTTTCTCAACTGACTCACAAACAAAAGTGGCCCTGCTGGCAAAGACAGAACTATGATGGATGCCACCACTTGGACTTTCCAACATCAGTGCATAGTATCAGTGATGACCCCCGACCCCTGATATTGACCATACCCCAGGGGACACCATGGACTAATTAGCTGTAGACTGATTATGTTGAGTCTCTTCCATTACAGAAAGGGCAGCGATCACTCCTTACTGAAACACGCTTGTATGTCTGGATTTGGAATCGATTTTCCTGCTTGTCATATCATCGTGGCACGTTACACAATATTGCTTCTGACCATGGAATTCGCTTTACAATGAAAGAGGAAAGGCAATGGGTAATGCCTTTGCAGTCTGACCCTATCACTCAGAAGCAGTCATCTGTATTGAACTGTGACATAACTTACCGAAGACATCGTCGCAGGACTAACTCAGAGATAAATACTGAAGAGGTTGAGATATTGTCCTTTAAGATGGTAGTTTGTTCTGAACCAGTGAACAATATGCAAAGATGCTATTTCTCTCACAGCCAGAGTAAACAGGTCTGGAGAAAGGGGGAGTGGGGATGGTAAAACTTCCATTTCACTCAAAGACTCTCACTCTCTTCAAATTTGTACTTCACCGGTTAGATAGTTTAGTACCCAGGAAAGGAAGGTTTTGCCATTGAGCAGCTGACCATTGAGAAAACTCCCTTTGGAAAGGGGATATGTGAAGTTTTGACTGTATGAGGGACAGACAGTTCCACTGAAGCAGAGACTTTATTTTTATTTATTTATTTATTGCATCAAGGTCTATTCTGCCACCCAGGCTGGAATGTAATGACATGACCACAGCTTACTGCAACTCTGACCTCCTGGGCTCAAATGATCCTTCTGCCTCAGCCTCTCGAGTAGCTGAGACCACAGGCTTGCAGCACCACATCCAGCTAATTTATTTTTTATTTTTTTTGGAGACAGGGAGGTCTCAATACTTTGCCTAGGCTGGTCTTGAACTTCTGGGTTCAAGCGATCCTCCCCCCTTGACCTTCCAAAGTGCTGGGATTACAGGTGTGAGCCACCACACCCAGCCAGAAACTTTTTTTAAAAGATAAAAGTAGGGGAATTTGAGTTCAGGTAGCTATTGAGCAGAAAAAGACCAGTAAAACAATAGTCTGGACATGTCGGCCGGCCATCTGGAGTTTCACATGCCATTAGGTGAACAGACCAAAAAAGTTGGTGACGATGCTGGCCGTAGTGACGAGTCCTGAAGAAATACCCACGCAGCTGCATTATTGGGAACAGCCCAGGCTGGGGGCAAGGAATGAAACCAAGTGGTCCTCTCAGGGGTCACTTCCTCCTCCCCTTCCTCCCTACTCCTGGGATGGAAGTTCAAGGAAGACTCCTGCAGTCGTGCACACAGGTAGGGCCACCTCGGTCTCTGGGTCGTCAGGAAGGAGAATGGGGTCACAGCTTGCATGTCGTGCCCTGTCCATACAAAGCACTGGCTGAAGATAGCATGAATCAAGAAGAGAAATTGGAAGTGGTGTATTAGTCCATCCTGTGCCGCTCTCAAGGAATACCTGAGGCTGGGTAACTTATAAAGAAAAGGGGTCTATTTGGACTCACAGTACTGCATATGCTGGCATCTGCTTGGCTTCTGTTGAGGCCTCGGGAAGCTTTTGCTCAGGGCAGAAGGCGAAGGGGGAGCAGGCGTATCACTTGGCGAGAGCCAGGGCAAGACAGAGAAAAGGGCGGTGCCGGGCTCTTTTACCCTACCAGCTCTCTGGGGAACTAATAGAGTGAGAACTCTTTCACGACACGAGAATAGCACCAGAGCCATACATGAAAGATCCCTTTCATGATCCAGACGCCTCCTGACACTGACGATCTCATTTCCCCAAGAGACTTGGAGGGAACAGCAATCCAAACTACATCAAGCAGGAAGCCACCTGAGAGTCGTAGCCTCTATTTGTACTTCTGGTGTCGTGTGCATATTCAACATTTTAACGCATTGCCCTTCCTTCTTCTCCCTTCACTCATTCTGTTGCATACCGGGTGTGTGGTTATGATTAACTTTACACTTCAGTCCGAGGATTATGGGAAAACGGGATGGGATTATGGCTCAGCTGGAAGAGGAGTGGACAGCACTCAGAGACCCTGAATGCTGGAATTGAAAAACAGCGGGGTAGCTTTCTTTGGAAGAGGATGAAATTTTGATTGTATGAGAAATGGCTATCTATTTTAAGCAGAATTTTTGTAAGTGAAGATAGAGGAATTAGAGTACATGTAAGTACTGAATAGCAAAAGAGTAAGGCTGTAGCCAATTTAATAAGCTATTTTTTTCTTCTTTTGGCTCTCTGACATCTGAATTCATTCAAAATTGGGAAAATCCACTATTATGTGCCCAGTAAGTGGCAGGATCAGCTAGATCATGGGCGTAGGATCTAAGCTCTGTCAGGTGGATATTCCTGTCCAAAGTTTGAGTATGGAGCCAAGACACAAGGAGTCAGGGTCAGTGTAGACTTTTTGTTCTCAAGGTGGTGGTGGCAGCATCTAGGGGACAGTTCCAGCGGCAGTGTCTAGGCCCTAGAGACCAGCACTGGGGGCTGTGGTACCTAAGCCAGGCTGTTCTCCAGACCTGATTGGTCCATGGTCTCAGATCCCCGGCTTTCAAGCCTGATTCGTCTAAAGATCCTGTGATTCGCTAATAGTCTTCCATTCGCTTCCTTTTCTGTTTAAGTAAGCTGGAGTTGGAAGCTGCTGTTTGCAACCCAGAATCGGACTGGCCCTTTGCATCTGAGCTCTTTCCTCTGCCTCCACTGAGGTTGGGTAGGGGAGATGTTCGTTCGACTTTAGTTAGCGCTCAGAGGATCATCCCTGGAAAGAAGCAACTCTGAGAAAGACTGAACGTAACACAGGTGATCCACAATATCCCCTTTATTGATATTAATCACAGTTATGAGGTCTTGTCCATCAGAAAGCACAATCTGTGCTATGTAGAACTACATACAAAGACATAAAAATAAGACATACACATACACCAACCACCACATCAGCTCATCACAACCAATCAAACCTCTGAATGTGTCTTCAATTTTGATCATCAGTGCTTTGGAAGAACATACGTAGACCCAGCCTGAGGTTGGCCTTTGGGGTCTTAGAGCATTCACAGAGCAGGAGATTCTCCCTTGCAAGCAACTGATTATGTAAACTCAGAGAGCAGGCACTGACCACACAACACCTGAATACCTGGCTCCTGGGCTGCCTGCCTTCTCAGCAGAGCCCACTCAAAGTCCCACGTGCTCTTCTGACGATGAGGACAGCAGACCTCAGCTGTGTTTGCAGCAGACAGGTCATAGCAACTCCGATGGATATGCTATGTGTAGGAGTAGAAGGCTGGCTTCTAGTCTGGTTCAAGCCATTCCTTAGGGCCATTTCAGAACAAATGACAAGTTGACCAAAATTTACTTTAAAAGGGAAATGCAAAATTCTTTTTTCCCTGCCGTCTTCCCTTCCCATCCTAAGCCTTCTGGCTAGACTCCAGCAGAACCCACTGTAAAAAGCTCAAGAGCTTTTGTTTTGGTCAGGTTACAAGTTATCAAATGCTCAACATGGAAGGATCCACTGCAGATTCCAAATGTCTTTCATTTACTTAAATTAACAGAAGTGGCTCCTTCCATTAGTAAATCAAGAGTTTGAATTCTAGCAGTTTGCGGATGTCCTCAAGTCTCTTAGAAAAAGGAAGGCTCTTAAACTTATCAAAATAAATGCCTAGGGGATTTGGGAACCATGACAAACCACTTTGCTCCTGGAATCCACCGAGAACAGAAGCCTCTGATCAAAGCCCACTCGGTCTTCTTTCCGCAGGGCTCACCGTGTGCTCACAGTGGTCTTAGTTTCCTTAACTTCCATAATGTCAATCTTTGCCTTAACAACTTAAAAAAGACTAGCTGATTTTCTTCCCTTTGTCTGTGTCCTCCTCCCACGCAGTACCTCCCTGGGGCAAGGTGGAAGAAGGAATATTACTCTTTGGGCTGGCTTGACCTTGGAAAGTGGGTAGCTATGTTCATGGTGCTCCAGTTCTGGCATCAGCAGTGAGGGAACAGGAGACGCAGACGAGAGACGCATTAGCCATTGTGCTCTGAGTCGCTGGCTCAAAAATGCTTAGGAGACTTCTCTAGGTAGTTTGCTTCTGTAGGTGACCTTGAGAAGTTGCCATCGAGTCTAGTGAAGAAGACTGAAGATACCAAGCAGAGACTTCCCTGATATGTATGTCTTTGATGATCCCACTGAAGAAAGATTCCATTCAGTGGCCGAAACAAAGATCTGTAGTCCCATGACACCTTGAAATTCCAAATCAAATCAGTATCTCCCCTGAAAGCAAAGTAAAAATTGTTTTATTATCATCAGAGTCGATCAGTATAATGAGAGGGAGAAGACAGAAAGGAAGAATGTCTTAATTTGAAGAATGAGGCTGTGGTCCCGCAGAAGCCAACTGCTGTTGTTTCCTCATGCCGCCTTTCCTGGGGTCCGTAGCATCTCAGCCCTAGCCCAGGCCAACGTCCAGTGACATCATCACCACAAATCCCAGAATGGAGGCCCAGGACGCCAGTTTCCCGTTACCACTAGGAGGGAAGGAGAAGAAGAGTAAGACCTTAATGCCTCCTGAGACCATGGCTAGGCTGAAAGCATCCTTGCCATACCAATTCCAGTAGAAAATATCCAACGTTCACCGGGGATTACTAAATGCCAGGAAAAGTGACTAACGCATTTATGTCAAACAACGAGCTCACAAGGTCGGTTTCACTATTATCCTCATTTTACTCGTGGAGAAACTGAGGTGTAAAGAAGTACCTTGCCCCAAATCGCTTATCATGGTTCTGTAGTTCATGCTTGAATAATGAGTGGCAATGATTTCTTAAAGATGTCTAATCTGACCTTGAGAATGCACCTCAAAATTGCTAATCTGACCTTGAGAATGCACCTCAAAATTGTTCTTCTATAATAACTGAAATTAAGCAAAGCAATCCCCCACCCCTGATGCTGAGAACACGCATCTGTTGCTTTGGCAGACATTTTAGAATTCACCTCTCTCCTCATCCCAGCCCCAGAAAAGATAGAGATAGAGAGATCAAGATGGAGAGAGAGAGATAGAGAGTAGACAAAAAGATAGTTCACTCCACGGGGGGACAGGAGGCAGGTTTGTGCCATGGCCTAACACCACCTTGTTTCTTGACACACCTGTTCTTTGCTCCTCCTTTTTTTTAGTTTCTGGGAGCACAACTGAGGAGGGGATGGTCTCGGGAAGGGGCAGGATGGGTGGGAATTAGGAGAGGCAAATGGGGACAGAGCAGATCCCGAGGCTGGAACCCAGGCTGGGGCCGGGACAGGGAAAGACAGGGAGGGGAAACTTTCCAACCTGATCTGGGCTTCAGGGATGATGTCATCCATGACCACGTAGACCATGGCACCAGCAGCAAAGGCCAGAGCGTAGGGCAGGATGGGCTCAGCCAGCACCACAGCAAAGGCACCAAAGACCCCGGCCAGGGGCTCCACCATGCCGCTTAGCTGCCCGTACCTAAGGGGAGAACAGAGACGCGTCCACTGCAGGGAGAGTCCAGCAGGCGCTCCACGTGCCCAGAATGTTAATTCAACCCCAGAAAATAGACGTGTGTCATGCCACGTCATACCTGAGCATAGCAGTGCAAAAAACATGCCACTGGATTTCCACTACCTCTTTCTCCTTCTCCAGCTTTCTAGAAAATAGTTACAGTATATCCCCCTGCCCTAATGAAAGCTCTTGAAAGCTTTAAGTTTCTGACATGGTCTTTTAAAAATAACAGCACTATTGAGATATAATTCATACACCATATGGCACGTTCATTTAACGTATCCAGCTCAGTGGTTTTCAGTATATTCACAAGGTTGTGCAACCACGACCACTATCTAATTCCAAAACATTTTCATCACTTCAAAAAAAAAAGCCCATACATTCTGGCAGCTGCTTCCCCCTTTCTCCCTCTTCCCAGTCCCTGGAAACCACCAGTCTACTTTTTTTTCTTTATGGGTTTGCCTCTTCTGGTTATTTCGTATAGGTGGATCATATAATATGTGGTCCTTTTCAGCTGGCTTATTCACAGAGCATAATGTTTTCAGGCCGTGCGCATGCTCTAGCATAGATCAGTACTTCCATTACATAGATATAGCTGATGTTATATTTCTATCATCAGTGGATGTCTACACTGTCTTTTGGGTGACAGGAACTGATTTGGAATAGCATGGGTATTTCCCAAGTCGTACCTGGCATGTCTGGGGGTTCAGGCCACAACTGCACCCTTCCTGAAGGGGCTATACCCAGCCACCTCTGATGAAGAGGTACGTCTACCTAGCCATCTGTGCACTGAGAGATGCCTTTCTTACCCCCATCTCGAATTCAGGTGAGATTTCTTCTTTTAAGAAACTCTTTTATTCTGGTTAGCATGGGGCGGGCTGGGGGTTAGGGGAGGGGAGAAGAATCATCTATGCTGCTTGAAGTCAAACGAGCTCTGATGGAAACAGCAGCACACGTGAGAACTGAGAATGCTTTTTTTTTTTTTGGAGTAGGAGTT